AAGATCATGTACTGTGCTTGTCTGCCTCCTGCTTCCCAGGCCATTATGAATTGAGTTGCTGAAACTAAAAAGACAACCCATGTTTTAACTTGTCAAGTTTTTGGCAGTGTCAACTCCCTAATGTAGCCAAATCTGAGTTGTACTTGAGTTCTTATTTCATTTTGTGTAGGAGAGAGGAGCAGTCAGTCCAGTTCTGAATTGGGAGATGGAGCATTTCTCTTATAATAAAAAACCAAAACAAACAGCACTGAAGTGTTCTTAATCCTTTACTTTGTAATGCTGGAAAAATATTGCCTGTTGAGATCCTTGAACAATAGTTAGTCCTAAACTTTGTTCTCCTTTCCTGCAAATGGTAAATATGCAATAGACTTGTGGTTAACAAATAAAATTCATCTTTCTTTTCTTACTTTTGTTGCTGTTGATAGTTATGTAGCCTTCTGTATGAAACTTGTTGATATGCTCCTCTCATTTGGAATTAAACCAATTTTGGTATTTGATGGATGCACTCTGCCTTCTAAGAAGGAAGTGGAAAAGGCCCGACGAGAGTAAGTACTGAACTGTATCGATTTGCAAGCAAAGCAATGTGTTTATCACTGCAGTTAATTTTCAAAGACAAACTCCTCAGCCTCCAACTAGGTAGTAATCTCTGGCAAACTTCCCTGCAATGCAGTGTGATTTAACTTAATTTACTTTTAAAATCATACAAACTTCTTAGAGGTTTTATTCCAAAAATAGAAATATGCATTTTACAGAGGAAGGAAGTAAACCTCTGAGCTCTACTTCCTGTAATGTATTAGAGGCTTTTAGTTTACCCAGCCTTGTGATCTCTGCACAAAAATACTTATTCCAAATATAATTTTATTTAAAAATAACATAACCATCCTCATCTTTCTCTACAGCTAATAGATAAGCTTGTTTCAGGTTTGGATTCAGCTCCCTGTAAATGCGACTTCTCACTGGAGGAGTGAGAATTTGTCAGTAGTGGTTGTTATTTATAAATTCTCAAGAGACACATGTTTGCTTCAGTGTGAAGTGAACAATTTCCGATATTTGAAATTAAGTAAATTATGCCTTCTGCCCTCTAAACTGATAACTGTCTAATGTCAAATACTCCCAAATTTCATTAAATCTATTTTACTGCAAACTGAGACTGAGTACATTTCTTCTTTTACACTGCCGATTTCCGTTCCTGATTTTTTTATGTTTTCTGAGGAAATATTATAATTTTCAACATGCCAATCTAGTTATCACTGTCATTATGACGACTTAATTATTCTTATGTTATAAAAACTCGCAGTAGACAGATTTGGGAAGTGTTCCAATTTTTTTCCCCCCACTTTCCTACCTGTCTCTCAGTTCTTTCTGCTATTTGTTCTTTGAAGTGAAAAAGAACCTGAGATCGATGGATATTTTTGTCTCTCTTTTAGGAAGCGTCAAGCCAATCTTCTGAAGGGGAAACAACTATTGCAGGAAGGGAAGCTGTCTGAAGCTAGAGAATGCTTTGGGCGCAGTGTAAATGTTACCCACATTATGGCTCATGAAGTTATTAAAGTGAGTTGTCAGTACTGTTGATAATGCCAGTTTTAAAAAAATCCTGTGCTGTAGGTAGCATGTCTTACTTTGCATTTGTATGGCTGTCACTGCCTCTTTGTTGTAGGCAAGAAAAATATTCTCCTTACAGTTAAGAAACTTCAAGTTTATTGTGCCTGGTTGTATGAATAATAATGATGTGTCAATTGAAGTACATCTCTTCTCACCGCTGTGAACTGCATTTGATAGCACTGCAGTTCTACTTTTGCTGCACAAAAACTAAGCACCATTTTTTAAAAATATTTTTCCCCTTGGTTAATTTCTGAGGACAGATGATACAAAAAAAACTTGTCTGCTTAAAATACATTCTAGTATCCTTTTACTATACTTTCACTGCAATCATAGGATCTTTGCCAAATCAATATTAAGTTTGTTCCAGTGCTGTTTTCCTTTGCCCAGAATATAACTTGCATGAGTTTGAAGCTGGCACCTGTGGTCAGATGCACTTACCATAGTGTTACAGGCCAACACAGGAAAGGCTGTTTTTGTAAACTAGTCTATATAGATCTAAACTTCTTGAAACTTGAGTTTCTGAATATGAAATATCAGGCTCTAACAGGGGAATGAGTCTGTGAGTTAAAAATGATGGTCTTGGCTTTTTAACAAAGGGATTCCTATGCTTTCAGGTGTCTTAAGGTCATTACTGAAAGTTGATGCAAAGTACTTGTATACTTCTTGTTCACGTACAGGCTGCACGAGCCCGGGGAGTTGATTGTATTGTTGCTCCTTATGAAGCTGATGCTCAGTTGGCTTTTCTTAGTAAGACTGGCATGGTTCAAGCTATAATTACAGAAGACTCTGATCTTTTAGCTTTTGGATGTAAAAAGGTAAGGAAGAAAATACTATTAGCCTTTACCTCTTGCCTGATATATTAAGAGCAGAGTTTGAAGTTGCCAAATGCGTTTGATGTATGGATTTACTCTTCCACAGTAAGTGTGGGAAATGAAAGAGATGAGAATAGCACTTAGCCTTTGTTGTTTCCACTAAGTGCAACAAACTAGCTTATATGGGTGAAAATGAACGTTTGCACTTTGTTGTTTCCACTAAGTGCAACAAACCAGCTTATATGGGTGAAAATGAACGTTCGCAATTCCTCTTAATTTTCAGGTGTTTCTGAAAATTGACAAGTTTGGTAATGGACTAGAGATAGATCAAGCTCGACTCGGAAACTGCAAGCAGCTTGGAAATGTATTTACAGAAGAGAAATTCCGCTACATGTGTATTCTTTCTGGTTGTGACTACCTCTCCTCAATCCATGGAATTGGGTTAGCTAAGGCATGCAAGTTACTGAAATTAGCTAACAATCCAGATATTATAAAGGTAAACTTGGTTTTGCTTTGTGTGTTGGCTTTTTGGGAGCTGATATCAGTATGTATGAAGTTAACACTGAATTGAAAATATGAGGGGTTATTGACTTCCTCCATCTTGAGGAGAATGCTAAAAAGTATCTTTTATCTGTGCTTTAGAAAGATGCTGAGCTAAACTTACTGAAGTCTTGAAGCTGTTAAATACCTAAGAAATACTGCAAAGTAAACTTGGATAAAGAATTATTCTAGTCCTGTTTGAGTGGAGACTTTCCCCCCTCATTACTGTTCTTTCTTCTGTTTCTGCAGATATTAGAACTCCAAACTGAACTCTGTTACTTTTACATAAGTACATGATTATCTGTGTGGGGCAGGGGAACAAAAGTTTGGTATGATGCAAAACAAAAATTAAGATAGGGAAGTTTTGTTTTGCCTGATATATGAAATGAAACCAAATCTAGTATTGGAAAATACAGATAAGAGATATACTAAGATAGTGGGAATAACTTCTGTGGAGGTAGTAAAGCAGTAGAGAGGTTTTTAAGAATACCTTATGGGGCTGTCCTAGAGGCAGATAAATCTAATCCAAAAAAGCATTTCAATATGCAGCCTAATCAATTAACTTTGTGTATTATCTTCTTTCTTAAGTTACTTTTGTGCTTTTAGTGTGCTTTTTTTCTCCCACAGGCTGTACACAAAGAACTATGATTTTAATTTTTAAAATGCATTGCATCATGTGAAGCAACTGGTGTGACTGGCTTTTGTGGAAGTACAAAGAGACCTTAGAACTTTTCCAATAGAAATCTTTATTTCCTTTAATGTATCTCTGAGCAAAATGTCAGGGTTTAATCTGATTAGTTTTGCTTTCTTTGTGTTCTAAAAACACCCACGTATTGCTTATGTGTACTGATAATATGAATGAGAAAATTTGATATGCATTAGTTTAAACAAACACACATTAAGGAGATGCTCTGTATTTCTAATCACATTTTGTATTTATTTATTGAGTAAGAAACATTTACAAAGAGCTGAATTGTGTTATTTATATGATTGTAAATGACTTGAGTGGGAAAATAATGTACTAGATTTCTTTCTTTCCTTCCCCTGTTTATATTGAATCTGCTTGTTGTAATAGGACACACATTCTATGTTTAATTACAAGCAAAATACATAATTGAACTTTATTTAATGTAGTGTGAAATTTCTTTTTTTTACAGGTTATTAAGAAAATGGGGCAGTATTTGAAAATGAATATAACAGTGCCAGAAGAATACATAGAAGGTTTTACACGAGCTAACAATACATTCCTTTATCAGTTAGTTTTTGATCCTGTCAACAGAAAACTAGTTCCTCTGAATGCATATGGGGATGATATTGATCCAGAAACACTAACTTATGCAGGACGGTATCCTTTGTGTGAAACGGCAGAATGGGGATTTAAGGGTGGTGTTTTATACCTTTCATTGCATCTCTGATGTTGACTAAAGACTGGTTTCCCTGCAGGCTTAAAGTTTTCGGGTTTTTTTTGGCTCTGATTTTGTTCAATTAAAATAGATACAGATGGTAACTAAGTGACCTGTCATTGATACATTGTTTTAGGCAGAAGTTACAAATTGTTAAATGTAGGCTATATTTCAACTGTTTGAGGCACTTTACAACTGCTTTTAATTTCTGCCTGTGTTAAGTGTCCCATAATCTCTGCCAGTCTAATTCTTGCAATTTGTGTTCAATTCGCTTTCTAATCTAAGCATTTCCTGTTTTACCAGGTATCTTTCCACAGAAGAAGTAGCATTTTGCCACACTTGTGCAACATAAATTTCAGTGTGGAATATTAGGAAAAGAAAAGGGGGACTGTTGAAGTAGTTGCTAATTTTGTATGTTCGAGACACCTAATCTCTGGCATTTCTAGAAATTAGGAAGGGTTGGTAACTTTTTTTGCTGACAATTGAAGGACTTAATTTTGATTTGCATTATTTGCCAAGGATTGCAGATGTATTACAATTGCTCTTGTATCAGATCAAGCCAAGAGTAGTAGTATTGATCCTTTTGGTTAATATTCTACTATGATTTTTAGCACAAAAATGGGAAACAGCTATTCTAACTTCAGTTTTTGAAATATAATATTTTCCTTTACTATGATGGAAACAGACATTTTGGTGATGGTACTGCTTTTCAAATTGCCATTGGTAACATTGATATCGATACAATGGAACAAATTGATAATTATAACCCTGACACTGCACAGGTAAGATCTTCATTCTGAAGTTATGCATTAAGAATTTGATGTGGGTCTGAACACTCATGGAAAGATGTGATTTAATGTTATCTGCACATGAATTGGCAGTGAAAGCTATTCTGCTATTACAGAAACTATGCTCACACACACATTTCGCACTCTTTTTACAGGTGAAGTCTTACTTTTCATGGCATTTGACTTTGTTTGTTTTACTTTCAAACTTTTTGGAAAGTCCTTAGTACTATTGACAAACATAACTGATTTAGACAGAAAATTCTCAAAAAGATTTGAATTTCTTCTAAGTGTAATCCCAAATTATGTTTTGCTGAATAGAAATAAAAATTTAAACTTTCTAATATTGTCTGAGATGAGCAGTTAGTCACTTGTGCCATGTGGAAATGGAGAAGCTATGGCAGCACAGAAATAAAAATAAACTTGTATGAAAAGCATGAGAAATGTGAGAATAAAAAAGAAAAGGTTTGTGTAGAGTATGTCACTAGATGTGCAAATGTCATAATGTCAGAAAATCATACGTAGCAGGCAAGATTTTCAACCTGTGTCTCGGGTTTTAATTGGTTTTTTTTCTTGTAGCCTGTACAGAAAAGAAGTTGTGGCTGGAATGACAGACATACTAACCATGTAAACAGCATTTGGAGCAAAGAATACAAGTTTGGCACTAATGAAGATATTGCTCCTCCTAAAATGCATTTACTAGAGAAACCAACAACCAAAGGCATGGAGAAGATAATTAGTCTTAAAGGGCTAAAACTTTCTGGGAAAGAGCTCTTGGCAAAAAGGCCGAGGAGTGGTATGTTTTTACTAAATAAGTATATGTATAACAGTAGAAGGCTGTGGGAAAAGAAAATTTTATCTTGGACTTGATGGTGTGAGATTTTAGAGGCTTAGCTCTTCACTGTTACTGTCTGTATTCTGTTTTCAACAAGCTACAAGACTAACAAGCCATAATCTTAAAGCCTAGATAATCATCAAGGGTGATGGCAAACTTTCAGCAGCATTTGATTTTAACAGTTTTGATTTGCTATAAAATGTTGGTGTTTTCCAACTTCATGTTATGTTTAATACAGTCTGTTTTATCTTTAAAGTTTTTTGTTTTAATTTCTATCTTACAATGGCCTGTAAAAAAAAAATTAAACCAGCCTATTTTTCCTAGCATTGATATTTGGCCAGACAGCAAATGTAAAAATGTTTTCTGTACGCTTCTCACACTGTGCTGCCTGTATTCCCTGGATAGGTATTCTTTACTCCAAGTTTTTCACTTTCTCTAGTGGATCTGTGCCATCTTATCTTCTACACCACCTAAATTACATGGGCTGAAATAAACTGTGGGCTTGTGATAGAAGGAGCACTTCTTTGTTCCCACTGTGCTTTATCAAATGTGTTAAATGTTTTCTCTTCTGCTTCCTTTGCTTTCTCATTATGCTACTAGGGCTTTATTGTCTTGCTATTGTTACTCCTGATACCTTCCTACTCCTTCATTAATCAAAATCTGTAGCTTGTTTAGCAACTTGCCTTTAAATCAAATTTGGTTTTGCTTTTGAAGCATTAAAAGAAAAAACTAAACAACCCAAATCCAAAACAAACATCATGTTTTGGTTTAGTTGCTTTGGTTTAGTTGTTTGGCCTTCGCTCCGCCTACCTTTTCACAGAAAGTAATTTTTCAGGCTATGTACTAGGAAACAGTTGTGTTGAAGACTTCTAAACTATAATGTCAATAATGTGCCTACTAGACCTTACTAATGTTTTTAAGAATGTGGAGTAAATGTGTAATGCTTAGTTATCTCATAACTGGTTAATTGGACTATGTGCTTCTACAGTGATGCTTAAATTGTCTTCCGATTTAGAAGAAATCTCAGATGGAGATCTCTTGAAGGAATACTCATTTTCAAAAACAAAAAGAATCAAGGAGAATGATCATGATGGTCAAGCACAAAAGAGTGTCTCAGCAATACACAGCCTTGACTCTGCAGGGAATTCCATCGATCAAGAGAGCTCTAGCTCCCTGCCCAGAGTTAGAAATAAATTTGCTTCCTTTTTACAAAAGAAAAACAAAGAGAAGGATGCTGTAATTGTTCCAGGAATAAGAAGCAGGTATGCTTGTGTCAGATGTTTTAGTGAGTAGCAAAATACTATTTGCTGTCCTGGTTGGTGAAAGAACCTGAATAATGAAAATAAGAAAAGTGCTACCTCAGACTTCTTTATGCAACTGTATGTGCCTGAGCTGAGATGGAGGAGGAGGGAGGATCCAGCACTCTGAGAAGAGGGACTTTGGGTTTGTTAGGGTTTAGTTAGTTTTGGGGTTTTTTTTGGTTTTTTATTTGGTCACATTTGGCTGCAGCTACTTAAATTTATTTTTTTTTACAAAGCATTATCACAATTAAGTCTCTTACTGTGTAATTTTTATCTTAAACTGAATCTTTTTGAGTAGTGTAATTTTACAGAGCAGTCTTAATACTGATGTTCTTTAGTTTTAAAACACCTTCCTCAGCTGAAAATTTTTTGAAGTTTTCTTACATCAAAAATTGAGTTGTCAGTGATGGAAGGTTCTTCTCTAAATTGGTGCTCAGTACTCTTAGGAGCTGCTGATATAGCATGGAAAAGAAGTAGTAAGGTTCTAGTTTCCTCGATAAGAGGCACTGGAGTATTTCATAACCCCTTAACTTTATGGTAATTAATTAATATATTTTTAAAATTTGTAGAATTCCTAGATGCTTCTCTTTCAGGTGAAGAACCTTATCAGTACTTTAGTCAATGAATGACATGTTTACAGATGCTTTTTTCCCCCCTTATATTTACTGTTATTTGTTAAATGTCTCCCTGAGGGACTTTGCCCATTGTCAAAATAATTTTTCTGCAAGTGTACATTGAAAATAAAATTGTTGGATAGATTCAGCTGTTGGATTTTGGAGATCATATACTCATTTGCAATAACTTTCTTCTCCCTTGCCTTTACCTTTTAATTTTTTAGGTTTTTCTGCAATGATGCAGTTACATTTGATGGTAGAGCAGATGAGGATGATGGTAATCTAACTCAAGATGCTGAGCAGGATTGCCACAAACAGCAAGTAACACATGTAGAAGATGTTTCTCAGTTTTCAGGAACTGAAAAATCAACAAGGACTATCATTACACCTCCTGGAGAAATGCACAAAAGTTGTTTCCAGTGGTTTGTAAATAATTCAGGAAATCCTAGTCCCTCTCATACTGTATTTTCACAGCAGTTTCACCAACAGAGAAACAACTGCATTGTATCCAAGGAAGATCAAATTATTGGGGTACAAGCAGAGGATGAGGCAGCGTGTGATGAATCAGACGAAGAGTCCTCTCCCTTAATACAACTAGAAGACTCATCACAGTCTCAAGCATCCTGTGAGCCATCAAAATACAATTTGGTGTCTTCAGAAGTACTGCAAGTGTCCAATAACAGTTCAGATGCAAAGGTAAGAAAATCAGAAATTGTTCTCTGCTTTTGTTAGCCTCTGAAGTCCTTTCAGAAAGTGTATGTGTGTCTTTGTAGTGTCCCTTGCTGAAAATAAGGCCAGGTTTTTGTATAAGTTATTTGAACTGCTGAAAACATTAAACCTTACAAATCAAAATATGTGCAGAAATGAAAATTTATATTGTGTTTTAAAAAAAATCCCAAAACTCAACCTGTTTTAAAATCAAATTAATTTTTTTTCATGAAGGAATCTGACTCCAATTCAAAACTGGCTGATGATCAATGTACTTCGTCTCGAGTATTTTCTGCTCTTCAAACTTACAAAAAAAATACCATCATAAAGACCAAGGTAAGAATTTTTAACTTTATTATCACCTTTAAACCCCACAAATCATTTTTTGCCTTCTACCAGTTCATTTTAGAACTCTTAATTCAAGACTTCAGCACATTTTGGCAAGAGAAAACTATATTCTTGTTCATCTGTATTGCAGCTGAGATGACATATAGCCAGGCCACCTATGACTGAAAACACAGCTGCAACTTGTTTGGAGATTTTAAACATTTTAGTATAAAATGAGAAGACAAACTAAGGCAAAAAATCCCAATTCTTAGTTTTCCTCAGACATGCTAAACACATAGGTTTTATAATACAAATTGAAGTTATGTTCACAGTCCAGACAGTCACAAGATACTACCTCATTTTATTGCTTGTCTTCATAAATCTGCTAGTTTAGCTGTCTTCTTCCTCTTTGAGTAGAGAAAGCATTCAAAATCTGGAAGGGTTTTTGTTGTCCTCTTATGTTTAACTGTTTTAGTTGGAAGTATTGATAGACACTACCAAATCAGTCAGTTTTCTTTCAGAGCCTGCATTTCAGTTATTTTTCCTATTGGTTGCTCACCTGTAATTTGGCTTCTCTGTGGTTTCTTAGACATCTAAGAATAAACTTATGTTCCTTGTCTCTGTGATATTTTGAAGAGCTGTACATATTTGTCTAGTCTAAAAAACCTCTGAAGCTGTACACCTAAAAGTTCTCTGACTCCTTAGGTGTTGCCATCAGAATTGGCCAAAAGATAAGTCAGAGGAAGATGTTTTCATCCATTCATGTTTTCATTCTACCAGCTTCTTTCTCATAGAAAGACTGACAATCACAAGGTTTCGCTGCCAAACAAGCATATTGTGTGTTTTGTGTGATAGTGACATCTTGTGGTTATTGTTAGCAACTTCTTCGTTAAGATGAAGTTTTAATTTTTATTCTGGAACATTAATGTTTTTTCCCCTTCTCCTCAACAAGGCTGAGATATGAAATCATCCTGGGATTCAGAATTTTATTCCTTTGGTTTTAAGATTGTATTTAATATGCTTTACTTTGTTTTGCTCACCTTAAAATGTATATTGGAAGAATGAATATATTAAGTATTGGGGAATTACTCATTATGCCCCTCAGACAAAAGAAAAACATCTGAAAACCTGTGAGAATAGTAGAGTTTGTTTAAAGCAAGTGGCTAGTAGGAAGTTTTTCCCCTTTTTTTTATTCCTTGGCCATGCATTCTCTCTGCTTCCTTTGTGTGCTGGTAATAATACATATACTTTTAAGTACCAAAAAACAGGTTCATTGCTTGGAAACTGGTGAGTGAATTGAAAATGAGGGATACATTTTTTCAATAATAGAGGTGTTAGAATAAATTCTATAATGAAGCCATGTACTCTAACTGATGTATTCAAACTTAAGACTAATAGCATTTAAGAGAGAAAGATTCTGGCCAAGCCCAGCTTTTCTGAGTTTCCAGCATAGAAACTGGATAAGAAGGTTCAACTAGAGGTTGATTCTTGGGGTAATCATACTGTTATGTGTGCTCTGCTTATGACTCACTTCATGGAAGTGATACCAGAGATTTGCTTCTCCTAAAATGCTGAAACTGACATGATATGAGAGCACAAGAAAAGCTCTTCAAAGAGCTGAAAAAAAATTTCAATAGATTTTAAAAAGAACTGCATTCAAAAGAAATATGTATTTGCAACCTTTTAGAATACAAATACCTATGGAAGCTGATTTTCAGTTCTTGCGGCTGCATTATGTCTAATGTGTTTGAGATGCCACTTTTCAAATTACAGAACCTACTTAAATATACCCTGTTGGGGCAGTTCAGATTGCATTATCTCAACACAATGTAAAGCACTTTATTTTTGTATTATAAACTTTGCAGCATAATATCTATTGCTCACAGGTTGTCATTTTAACCTTGTGTGCTGCAATATTAAAATCTGACAGGTTCCTGGTTTACAGAGATCCAGTTGTATAAGGTCACGAATTGTAACAAAGCTCAAGCCATTGATACCAGCTAAAGCAAGTGGGTTAAGCAGGAAACTGTCACCTGTGCAGAAGAGAAATGACTCTGATGCTGAAAATAAGCTGGGACTGCAAGCCACCATTAGTGATCTTCGGAGAAGCTTCCAGTTTAAAAGGTGAGTTGCTTTAACCCTTTACTTAGTACCCTCCCTGCATACTTTTTTTTTTTTCTGCAAAGAAGCACTTTTCAAAGCAGACCCTACACATCTTCTGCATACAATTAAATAAAGATATGTTATTATAATTATTTTTTCTTTGTAACCAGGAAAAACTCTCAGCTAAAATTCATTTATTGAAGTAGTGCATTTGGTTTAACATAGTCGATACAAAAATTATTGCCATCGTTTGACATCAAACACCAAAAGTAATTTCTTAATCTAAATGCAAAAGCTGCATAAAAGTTGCTAGGTTTAATTGAATATAAGGTTCTTTCTATTTAACTCTGTGTGCCTGTCCCATTTTGAGATGACTGATTGTCAGAGTGGTTCTGCTTTCTATATGACGGTGAATTGATGGACTATTTCTGTTAGCTGAAGTCTCTGGTTACAGGAGATATTTCTGCACATTCTAAAATGCTGTTGTTTTTCCTTATGCAAATGACTTGTCTAATATATACCTACACTTTTGGATTTTGTTTTTCTAACTTATGCTAGTTTCATGGTCTCAGGTAAAAACTCCTGGTGGCAAAGTTTTCCCAGCTCCAGGTAGCAGTCTCAACTTTGAATAACTCTTATTTAAACCATAAAATTACTGCTCTCACTAACCTGAAACCAAATGCGAGTAGGATGGAATTGTTCTTTGCGCTGAGTAGTAAATGTTGATACTCGTGAGCATGTCTTGAGTCAGTTGAATGTATTTTAGTGAGTTTGGGCCTTAAGGTAGGTTATTATAAACATACTACTGATTTCTGCTTAAAACACAGTACTTGTGATATTTATACTTTTAGAAATTTTACTTTTTATTATCTTCTTGGTGTGGGGTAAGAATGACAATTTTAAGGAGGAAGTAAAAGTGTTTGTATATGTATTGCTTGTCCTCTAATTGTGAATGTCTGACCAGGGCTGTTCACAGGCAGAAAATTCATATATTTTGATCTATCAGAATACAGGCAGATAGAACAGAGTAAACCTAGATGGCACTCTCTTCCTTTTCTCTGCTGATGGCTGCAAGACAAGGCTGCCAACATTTTATCCACCCAGTTTTGGTTGGTCTGTAACTTCTGGGTGTTTATACTGGGGATGTATACTTTTGTATTACTTCTATGTAAGTAAAGTACTTGTTTATTAACTTTTAGGGGGATTCTTTTCCTAATACATTTTTAAAAAAGGGGTTTTTTTTTTTACTGCCAGGACTTACTTAGCTCTGGAGTATTCTCTTTATCTTTTCAGAATTGAAAATGTTTCTAAATTAGACTTATGTTTTAACAATTATGTTACCTGATGGCAAATAAATCATGTGGGACAGTAATCTGTTCTGCCTTAATGTCAAGACTGATGGGATATATATATATAAAACTATGATGACTTAAATGTTAAGGAAGCATGTACAACCCAGAGTAGGATGGAGTACATACAGTCTTTCAGATATAAAGCTAACAGCTATTACTGTCGCTTTCAGTGAAGTTGTTCAGTTGTACTGAAATTTAAATTTAAATTTTGCATCACAAATTTTTATTTTGTACTTATTCATAGATGAGTGAGTAGTTAGGCGAGAGGTCTTGCTTTGCTTTAACCCATAGGTTCTTACTGGCCTATGGTTAGAGACATAAAATATCATAACATTCTTGGGTTTTGTTTTGTCTTTGTTTTTTTTCTGTGCAGAGAGTACGAAAAACTTCCTTCTTGTAAAAAGTCAGATCCTTTGTCTCCAATCAAAGATAATATACAGCTCACTCCAGAAACCGAAGAAGAAATCTTTAATCATCCCCAACACAGTCATGTCCAGAGAGCTATATTCCAGTGAGCTTTATGCTGTGCACGATGGGATGGATTTTTAATCATTGTAAAAATGTACCTTCTGGATATTTTGTCAGTATAGAAATGATGCTTTGAAAACCAGTTTTATATTTTAGTCTGACTAGTGATTGATCATCTCTTTTATAAAAACTGAATTGAAAGGTACCGTTCCATATTGACTGGAATAAAATAATTCAGATTCCTGTGTTCTGTTATTTGAAGTCCCCATGCTAAAGTTTTGTTCAAACATTTTCAGTTGCCCCTGGGCATTTTATGTAGGTCACATATGCAATCCAAGTTTCTGCAACAGTTATGGCTTTGCCTTTGCACAACAGAAGCAGAAGAAGTCTGTACCTTAATAATTAATAATTTTTTGCCTCCTTCTTTCCTCTTGAGTTTAATCTGGCGTTTAGACAGGTTTAAAACTGTTCAGTGTCCATAACAGTCTGTAATACACTTCCAGCACTCCAGTAACTGTTTCTTTTCCCTATAAGGTAGTATTTGCTCTCACAGTAGTTCGCTTTTTCTGTTGATACAGTCATGTTGTTGGTGGGAATAACTTGGGAGACTGCAGAAAGGAATATCACAAATACCTAGTCCCCAATTCTCACATTAATAGAATTTTATCCAAAAAAATATAGTGTGTTCCTCTGTTTTACTTCCTTTTTCTGTATTTGTAGTCTTCTCCAATGTCAGTCTTCAGTGCTAAGGGTTACAAAATAGCATTGTCCTCACCACAGGCCAATCTTCATTGTTCAGCTGAGGGAATGGATTCAGGAGACTGTGGTCCTTGCTTTGTTCAGCTGAATTACCATGAAATAGTATGATGAGATTTTAGATTTTTCCCTTTAAAGTCAGGATTTGAGTCAATGTAAAGGTATGTCTGAATTTTTTCATTTTTTTCCAGGAATGGATAGTATTTCTTTCTGCAGCAGATGAAGGCACAAAAGGGTATCTTAGCCTGTGAAATGAGATTGATACATTCCCTCCACTTTTGAGCTCTTTGCAAGAATTTAAGATTTAAATTGACGTTACACATATAGGACAGGGATAACTGTTGCGGTGTTTCCAGCCATAGAACTATTACCTAGAATGAATCTTTGTGTTCCTAGAATATAATAAAAATAACAGGAGGATTTTTTGAAAGGAAAACATAACAATAATTTATTTCCATCCACTGTTGATTCTACCAGTTTGGGAGTTACAAGGTCATGTTGTATAATGCATCCTTGCCCGTGTCCTGCTCCTTCAGTCAAGGGGCCACTTGTTCCTGCTTTAGGGGATCATCATAAGAGACAGACTACTCATGTTTGTATTTTCAAGGGCAGGTAATTTTAAGGGACTATATTACACGCAAGATACATTGTACAGACTTATAGTAGATTTCTTAAAATACTTCTGTATAGTTTCTGATTTGTTCTTTGGACGTTTTAAGTACTGACTTCACACTACAGGGGATTCTTTGCAGGAGTAGAGGCATCTACTACACTACATGTAAATATGTAGTGCATGTAAGCCTATAATAGTATGTAAGTTTTATACTTTTAATGTGAAGTTCTTGGGTTGGTGTTTGCTCTATGAAAGGTACAATAGCATATGTGCAAATGGTGCAAGACTTTGTTCCTGAGTTAAATAGTCCAGGGTAATATTTATAGTAAAACTTACTCAGTATCAAGACAGGATAAATTATTACTGGTTATGATGGCATGGGGAAGATAAAACCACCATGGAAATAAAAAGAAAAGAAAACTTGGAGAGAGGAGGGAGAGTTTGGTAGTTTTGAAAAAGCATGCATTTGAAACTTGGGTAGTTGGAAAACCAGAAATGAGTAGGAGGACATGAAAGCAGATGGCAACTTGGAAGCATATGTCTTTGTTTGCTTTTTAATCTAATATAAAACACTAAAAATACCTTTTTAGTTTCTATAACTAATATTTTCTAATTTCATCAGCAGGACTCACAAAATGAATGGCATTTCTATACCCTATTAAAAGGAAGAATCCTGCCCAGAAAAACTAAATTTATTAATGGAAGACTAATCAATCTTCACTTTTGAAAGTGCTGACTGGCCATTCCTTCATCAGAATGGTCATCTGAACTATAAATATTCAGTGTCACAGAATTGGTATGAGTTTGTGGTCATCCAAATCAAGTAGTGGTTTTGAAACTGTAGGTGAAGTGACTTGTCCAAATTCAACTGAGTCTTACTGCTGAAATCTTTTTGTTCTCATGACAACAGTTTGTGTTAAGCATATGTTCTCTTTCACACGAATCAATACAGGAGTTAGAGTAATTTTTATAGGACTGAAGAATATTGAAAGAATGTGGCTTTGCAAACATTGTAAGAACAGTTATTACATTTAAATAATAGTATTTTAAGAGAATTTGTAATACTGTAGCAGTTTTCTTATATTATTGACCTACTCTTTATGAAGTACTAGAAACTCAGGGTATTCAGATTTTATGCACCAATTAGTGTCTGTTAATTTTGCTGGTAACAAATATGTTAAAATTATGAGGTGGTGAAGTTAAAAGACAATTCTTTGCTCTTACTACTTGCTTTGAAGAATAACCAGCTACTTGTTTCAACATCTTGGCCTAGGAATGATGTGGTACAAAATTAAAATTAGCACCATAGGAGGAAGAAAAAGGGTGAAGTCTCTTCTGGCAGAGTAGAGGTAATTTTGTGCTGATAACAGGTCTGAATCCAACTGCAGTAACCCAAGGTTTGGTTATGACAGTCTAGAAATTAACGTCCTTGTTGCTCCTGTGGCTTTCTCATGTTATTACATACCTTTCAATTTGGCAGTGTAATGACAGGGTGCCTGAATATTTATGCCAGATGGGTATGTAATGCAGAAACCAGGCAATATAGTTTCAGAAGCAATGTTAGGAAGAGTTTTAAGCTGGTAGCAAGAGGACAGGAGGGAGAAGGTATGGGGAGGGAAGCCAAGACTAAAAACAGTCCCTGAATTTGTTAGCTCAAAAGTTCTGTAGAGTTATAGGATGAGCTATTGTTGGAATTATTATTTCTCACTGGAGTATGAAATTAAGTAACCTTGAAGAACAACTATCACAAATACAAGCTTCAAGCATCTCATCCCATTGATTTACAGATGAGATTAATGAAGCCATTTACTTCTACACAGATCACTAAACTTTTTACTGTCAACAGCAGAGAAGTTTCCAACTTTTTCATCTTCAAACTAAGCTTTCAAATAATAAAGAATTTGTTACCACACTATTACGAATCAGCACTCTTCAATCAATAATTTTACCATTCTCCCAACTGAGGGGAAAACAAAGAATTGGATTGTTCTTGAAAATGCATGTTATGTAGGTTTTTGTTTAACAGAGCTTTTAAGTTTAAGACTAATAAGGCTGCTTCCTAGAAACTTTAAAATCCAGGTGATATAACTTATATTCATACAGTGCTCTTTTGTCAAGAAAAACTACTGTGCATGCTCCCTGTGTTTGAAAAGCCTTCTTGCTTAACCTTGTTTTTAGAGAAGGAGGTATGGAGAAGCTTTTTTATATATAATATATATACATATAGGGAGAGAGTATATATTTACTCTAAAGTGAGAGAATTTCAAGTAGTAACCATAAAATAAATTGCATCTTAAGAATATTTCATAGTTAACCAAGTTACCAAAAGTACCATTGGATAGGGCATTTCTCAAATGTTTACTCCAGATGTTTACTGTTTCTCTTCAAGCTGGGTAAGTTGGAACAGTGTTGTATACCAGCATATAGAAGCTGCTCATGTGTCTGTAGAATTCCTGTTTGGCTTCTGTCACCTTAGGCTAATTTCTTAATTTGCCACACTTCATTTTGTGTTTTCCATGCTTCACTTTGCAATTTGTGTAATAAGAATAAGAAATGTATCTGTCCTACTCTAAGGATAAGTCTGCAGACATTTTGAGAGTCTTTAGAGACAGAGACAAAGGACTTGAGGCATATTCCAAACCCTGCACTGATTACATGTTTGTAACTCTTAATAATATGGAGTGTAAATTTGTTAACCAAAAGTAACCCTGTTTTGAACTGCAACGAAGTGTTTTTCTGGTAGGTGAGTTATCCTTGTTTATACTACAAGCAGCTGAGCTGAATAGGTACAAAATAACAGAATTAAAACTGTCCTTGGCTTCACAATTTTTTTGTGATGTATCTAGCTCAAAGAGAAGTTGCAAGAATTAGGTTAAATACACATGAAATTCTCCAAAATAAAACTGTGAAAGTGCTAGTTCAAGGCTAATTTAAAAAATATTTAAAATTATACATTTAATGGAATGATTATATGCTGCTATGAGTTAAGTATACTAAGATAGTTAATACTTCTACATTTATATAGGATACAGTGGAACACAAGCCAACTCATTGTGATCACTTAATGGAGAGGCCCATATTTCAGGATCTCCTGTTAGAGTTTATCACAAATCTCAGGACAAGGATGATTAACCTCTCTAAATATTTTTTACCTTCTTACTTGTTCATGAGTTGAGAGGCTGCTTGTAGTAAACTGATTGTAGCTGATCTACAGAGCGTTTTGATACCAATGTATTTTTACAGTAGTTAGCAACTTGCTTAAATGCTTGCTTAGACTAATGACAGTATTTTCTACATTAACAGTATTAGATTGGTGCAGGAGGTTCTCTGTTGTACTTGAACTGACACTTAGTTCTGCTATTTAAGGAATTTGTAATACTGCTACTCAGAAAGCCAAGGACTGGCATCTTAGGGAGATTCAGCATATTGTCGTATTGATTCCCCTACAATTCATTCAGTTGGAGATTGCACATCCATTTCTTGTGTAATAGTTATTTAATTAGTGATTGTGATCCTTTATAATCAAGGAAAAATATCCTATTTAGATTTATATACATCAGACAAATAGGGAACTCTTCATGTCCTGCAGTGATAGGACAAGGAATAATGTATACAAACCAAAACAATGAAAATTTCTGCTGGATATTCAGAAGAAATTCTTTACTGTGAGTGTGGTGA